ATCTTTTTTTTTTTTTTTTTTTTTTTTTTTTTTAAAGAGGGAGGGGTTGGAGCGATAGCTCAGCAGTTAATATCACTGGCTGCTTTTCCAGAGGACTCACTCAGGCTTGATTCCCAGCACCCACATGGCAGCTCACAGCCAACTCTAGTCTCAGGGGATCTGATATCCTCTTCCCACCTCTGCACGCACTAGGCACACACAGGGTGCACAGATGTACATGTGAGCAAAACATCAATACGTGCAAAATAAATAAACGAATATTTTTAAATTTAAAATTTAAAAATTTACTGGCGGAGGCTGGTAGACCAGTGTGGAAAGGTGTTAACGGGGTACCCTGTTTCCACTTTGACCTCCCCCTCCCTCCGCTTCCCAGGGGCTCTGCTTTCCACTTCTTCTTTGTCATGGTGCTCAGCCTCACCTCAGTAGTGAGGCCAAGAGAGAAGTCATTGACAGCACTGAAACCATGAACCAAAATAAACCCATTTCCCTTTACAGCGGCTTCTCTCCATGCCTTGTGAGAGAGATAGAGAGCTGACGGACACACAAGCGGACATTGAAAACACCCTAAACACAACGGCAACAGATTGGCAGGAATGGGAGCTAGGAAAGTAGAATGGTAAACGGACTCTTAAAAAATCTACTTCGTTGGGGGCTGGCAAGATGGCTAAGTGGGTAGAGACGCCTGAGCACAGGCCTGATGATGTAAATTGTTTGTAATCCCAGTAATACTCACTTTATCACTGGAAAAGTCCAATGGAATTCATCACATTCCAATACTAAAGACAGAGAGTCCACTACATGGGTAAACTGAATCTAACAAAAAATAAGTTCATTTATTTTATTTTATTTTTTCAGTTATTATTTTATTTTATGTATATGAGTGTTTTCTCTGCATGCCTCTAGAGGACATCAGATCCCCTGGAACTGGAGTTTAAATTGTTATGAGCCATCATATAGGTGCCGGGAATTGAACTCGGGTCCTCTGCAAAAGCAGCAAATACTTTAAGCCACTGAGATTTCCCTCTCTAGGCCCCTCATTCATTTAAAAAAAGTTGTGTAACGCTAGGCAGAGATGTGCGGTCTTTGATCTAGTACGGCCTCTGCAGACCTCCTGGCATTAGTCATCCATTGAGGCATGACAAATCAGGCTGAAGCTTAACAGTAACTCAGTGATAAGCGTCTGTGTTCTGTCCCAGTTTCTGCGGGCTGGGAACTAGGGCAGTCTAAGGGGGCCTTAGCTCGGAGTTTCTCATGAAGTCACAGTCAAGGATGCTAGGCAGCATTACATCACCTGCAGGCTTGGCCGAGGCTGGCCCCACGGTGACTTAGGTGCGGTGTTACACATTGGTGCTGGCTGCTGGCAGGAGCATTCTGGCTGCATTGGTGCCTCCAAAGGGGTGCTCTAGTGTCCCATCAACACTCCCAACATGGCCTCCCCAGAACAAATGAGCCAAGAAAGCCAGGTGGAAACAGCACATCTGTTATACTCAGCCTCGGAAGTCACGTGATCATTTCTACAATATGACTTTGTTCTGGTTTGGGACATGAATACCATGCAAAGATCAATAATGCCACATTGTCTTAGTTTGGGTTTTAATGCTGTGAAGAGACACCATGACCACAGCAACTCTTATGAAGGAAGGAGAACATTTAATCGGAGCTGGTTTCCTGTTTCAGAGGTTTAGTCCACTGACATCATGGTGGGACATGGCAGTGTGCAGGCAGACATGGTGCTGGAGAAGGAGCTGAGAGTTCTACATCTGGATCTGCAGGCAGTAGAAGGAGACTGTGTGCCACACTGGGCATAGCTCGATCATATGAGACCTCAAAGCCTGTCCCTACAGTGACACACTTCCTCCAACAAGGCCACACCCACTCCAATAAGGCCACACCTCCTAATAGTGCCACTCCCTATGGGTCAAGCATTTAAACACATGAGTCTATGGGGGCCATAACTATTCAATCACCCCATACATCAAATATCTTTTCTTAAAAATGATGTGTGTGGTGGTGGTGGGGGGTATATCAAGTGAGTGTTGGTGCCAGTGGAGCCCAGAGGTGACAGATTTCCCCCCTCCCCCTGAGCTGGAGTCACAGATGATTGTGAGCTGCTTGGTGAGAATGCCTGGAATCGAACTCAGATCTTCTGCAAGAGCAACCCATGCTCTTCACTGCTGAGCCGTCTCTCCACCTCAATATGGAGTATCTTATTTCATAGTGAAACAGGAAGATTTCCCCATTTAATTTCACAAAGAAGTCAAAAGTTATCATTATCAGCATTTCTAGTCAACACTCACTAGTGGTCTTAGCGGGTAAAATAAAACATGAAAAAGAGACAAGCAGAAGAAACTGTATATCTTTGTCTTCCTCCCAGTTTGACAGAAAGCAAGTCTGTGGCGCGTTTTCTTCACTGATGATTGATGGGGAAGACTGTAACAAACAACCACAGACGCTGTGGCTTAAAACAGCACCCATGTATTTTCTTACATCGATGAGACCAGTTTCAGTGGACCAAAGTTACAGTGACAGGAACAGTACGACTAGACGATCTAGTGCAGTGTCAGTATTAATAATTTAGAACCGTGACATCACTGGGTGTGGTCAGTATTTTGCTTCTTGGTTGCCTACCTTAATTGTCATATTTTTAGGTCAAAAATACTCTCAAGAAAACACCCAAGGAAAATAAACTAAATAGACAAAGATTGAGCAAGCTAGTTGTAGAGAGGGCAATAGGAAGAAAATATGGTAAAGTATAGGATACACAAGTATGGGAACGTCAAAATGAAGCCAATTTTGTACAGTTTATACACAGTAATAACAATGTCTAAGTTGTAAACAGTTTCAATATATCAGTTTTTGGTATATCCCAGGAGATTAAAGAAAATCTAATGTTCTAAGCGGGCGTGGTGATGCCTTTAATCCCAGCACTCAGGAGGCAGAGGCAAATCTCTATGAGCTTGAGGCCAGTCTGGTCTACAGAGCTAGTTCCAGGGCAGCCAGGGCTGTTATGCAGAGAAACCTTGTCTCAAAAAAAAAATCTAGTGTTTGTCTCTATAGTAGTAAAAACAATCAAATGAGAAAATTGCTGATGAATTATGCAAATGAATGTAGTTCACTGTGCCATGAGGCCCCTGATTTGAAACAGCAGGAAGAATCTTCAGCCCTGGGACCTAGAAATAATGAGAGGAAATTCATGGGGCTATAAAGTTGGGACAAAAGGACAGTGGGTCTTATATTGATATTGATAATCTATTGTATCTAATCCACTGAGATAAGAGCTTTATCTCAATAAATCAGTGTCTTTTATTCTATGCCAAACTGATGTAGTAGCAATACTTAAGACAGAAATGAGTTTAAAAGTTATTAAGTCCTTTACTAGAAGGAAAATAAGCCAGATATTCAGCAAAATAAGATTTATTATTACATGCCTGACAGTTTACATGATCCCAACATTAAAACACAAATGTACAGAGATTGATTTCAAATATTCAGCCAAATAAGATGATTTGCCTGGTATGGTAGCTTGGACCTGTATGCAGTGCTGAGAGGGCTGAGACAGGAGGGTTACTGTGAGTTCAAAGGCAGCCTGAACTACAGTGGGAGACTATCTCAAACACAAAGTCAGATTACCTGCAAACTTGGCAATCCATACTGTCCCAGTGTTGAAAACAAGCCAACAAAGAAAGAGAAACAGATACTAACCCCACAAATCTGCTGCTGCCTTTCTGGATGGACAGATGGACAGACCCAAAGTAGTTAATGTAACTGAGCTCACTGCGGTCTCAAATGAAGACCTGGTCTGGAGGTTTCCAAGTGGACAATAAATTTACCCAGAATGCCAAAGGCTAGACCTCGAACTTACCAGGCCTGATCAATACAGATAATAATTCAGCTCAATAATTCTTTGGTTTGTTGGCATCAGTCTGGCCGGAGAGTTCGGGAACAAGAGGAACTCTGGAAGCAGAGTGCAGACTCTGGGAGGCCAGGAAGCAAGGTGGCGGGAATGCTCAGATAAGGACTTGAACAGTGAGTGAGGTTAGAGCCCTCTGAGGAGCACCTGCACTAAGATGGACGTGACTCTTCTTCCCTACGGGAGCACTCAGAACAGTGGGAGCTAGAGGAACCCTCCTGGCCCCAGCCCCAGAAGCTGGGGGATCTGAGGCCACTTTCATGTGCTGGTTGAAATCGCATCCCTTCTCTGAAACCCATGTTTTATGTTTCATGTTCTCCAGAAAGTGTTTCTGGATCACCCAGTGTGATTTACAAGCAGTCTGTTGCTGTGTAGTAATTTTTTCACCCACACCATTTTATTATCACAATACTATGCATAAATATATTTCAAGTCGAAATCACAATTTCGTGTGTGTGTGTGTGTGTGTGTGTGTGTGTGTGTTGGGGGATGTGGGTGCAGTTTTCACAGTGTCTTCTATTGGTCTGAGAATGTAGCAGGCACTCAGTTATTGATGGAAAAGTTGTCAGAACATCAACGTCCCGAAGTTTCCAAACCTTCTTTTCAGCTAGATACACAGCCAGCAACCCCAGATCAGAGGGCCTGTGGCTCCCCTGGGCCAGAGGAAAGCTATCCCAAATGCAAATTCAGTCTCAAAGTGCTACAAAGACCAACTAGGAAAGCATGATCCGCTCTAAATCCCTCCTGGGGACCAGCCTCTCCCCGTGTGGATGCGTTTGTGTGTGCATGTGCTTGGGTGGGGGACGGCTGTGGTGTGGTGGGCAGAGAACAGCAAGAGAGAGGCAACTCCACGCAGTGATTATGTGAGGGGATTTGCTATGTCCCCCCACCCCCTCTTTGTCCCCATTCTCCTCGTCCCCTTCTGCATTTGTCTGGGAGGATCCTGGAGTGTTCTTTTGATCGACTCAATCTTTCTCTGGCACTTGAGTTCTGATTGGCTGAAGGACTTGGAGGGGGAAAAACTTTAATTAAGTAGATAATCTCTTCTTTGGATGTTAGGTAGCTCCATTTCACCTCCCCTTAACTCTGCTTGGGATCGTTTACACACCAAGGAAGTCGAGCTCTGAGGAGAATTCCATCCCTCTGCCTCTGAGGAAGACTACATCCCATCTCCCCTGTCCCCCAGTTTCTGAGAATTTCTCCCTCTGTTTCTCAGAAGATTATGTTCCTTATGAAGCCTGTGTGCATCTTTCTTCTCACTTCTGTTCTCCACTTCAGCCACGCCTGGTGAGTAACCTACTCGGATGTGAGGTGTGGAAGGGTATCTGACATGCTGGAGAATGCTAGCTTTCATTTCCGGACAGGTAGGAGGCCTTGAGATCTCTCTTGGGAAAAGCCATTCTACGCAGTGGGGCTTGCCCTAAGTTTGTGGCTGGTCTCAGCAAATCTTTAGGATTCTTGCCAATAAAAGATTGGATCTTAAAACAAGGGACTTTGTATATTTTTATAAATGACTATCCTGCAAATTTCGAGTGATTTGGGGAGAAACAGACAGTAGCCCGGGGCACTAACTTTTTACCCTGCTGTGGCCTGGAGAGACGCTTGAAGGCAGGCAGGTCTGGAGACAGAATGGGCAGGATCTGATTCTGCACTTTCTGACTTTTCTTCAGAATATTATAAGAAACTGCTCACATTAGCAGTCCCTAGACATTATAAATGAGTTAGAGTTATTGGCATTGGGTCAGCAAACAGGTTTGAAGGCAGATATTCTAGAAACCTGAGCTTTTCTACAAATGTATTTAAGTTGTTCAATGTACAGAAATTCCTAAAAACCAGATAACGTGAAAGTACTTTGCAAACTCTAGGACAAGTACTAGATGATATTACCCTTGGTCTTGAGAACCATGAAGGGCATCCGCACATGCAATTGTTATTAAGCAAGAATATGATAATATAAGGAGGCACAACCTGAGGAACACACGTAGCTAGGCAATCTGGAGTTTCTCCTCAATTCAGATGCTATCTCAATCAACCCCCAGCCCCGGTCAATTCTCACTTCGACCATCTACTTAAGATACAAATCCAACTGCTCCACATCCTATCCAGCAAGCCAGGATAGAAATGCCTTTGCTGGAACCTGCTTCCTGTGCTAATTGAGAGTGTATTCTTATCGTAAATGAGCCTAGCAATCTCCATTAAAGTGTTGATTTCAAAGTTCGCCAACTTAGCACAACTACTCACAGCTAAGCGTAATGATTTGCAACATTCCTGATTATGAGCAAAACCGCCAAATAATTGGTCAGTTTTAATTGGTCTTTTAATTGAATATTTCAACATGAAAAGGAAAGGAAAAAAAAAAAAGAAGCCATCTCTGCCTCATGAGAACAAAATGACAAAGGGCCCGGAGACTATTTCAGGGGTTTCTCCTGGTGCTCATCATGCTCTTCAGCTGATTCAATATCAGCAAAAGAGAAACACGAGATGCCCCTCCCTAGTCACCGGGGCAGTGTGAAGAATTGTTCCATTAAAAAATACCTTTACTGTGTGTCCCCTCCCTGCTGAAGGGGGTCATGTGCATTTCATTTCAACACTGACATGCCACACTGAAGGGTGGCTGGCTGGCTTGTCTGTCCAAATTCAAGTGTCTGGATTCAAAAAGAAAACGAGAGAAAAGAGATGTGAAAGTTCGTGCTAATTTAAACACAGGATTGAGAACCCCTCCTTGCCCGGCCTGACTTAGCCGGGAAGGGCCCAAATCTCCAATGCAACGCACTTACACTTTAATTGCTTTTTCCTGTAAGTCTCAGTTGGAATTAAAAACGTATATTTGGCCAAGATTCTGCTTTTAGGTAATGCTTGAAAGTGGTTTTTAAAATTTAACATTTTAAATATTGATCATTCCTCTAACGAAACACTCTGGGGTTTGTATAAGGTCATCCCCATTGTACCAAGCGGAGAAATGTGACCAACCATAGCCTTTGACATGTTTCTCTTAATACTTCATTATCAACCTTTTATGTAAGGACCTCAAAAGCATTTAACAAACAGAGACCCGAAATTTCTGCTTGGCTGTTCAATTGTCGGGCCGCTTGAAATGACTGTCTGAAAGGGTCCGGCAGCAAGCATTCCTGGCCTGAAAAGAAGAGACTAGACCGGTGACTTCCCTACAGTGCGGCTTTACTAAGAACGAACGCAACAGAAGAGGAATTTTCAAAACGGGACTTGCCACCGGGGCTCCATGGTGGACCGTTTCTGAGGAGTCTTATTCCTCAGGAACTTGAGATTTTTTTTTTTTTTTAATTTTTCTTAATCTTTATGGCTCCTTAAAATAGAGACTAGGGATGCACGAAGCTGCAAGGCAGGAGATGATGGCAGCTCCAGAGGCGCCGGAGATGAGCTGAGGTCACCTTCCTGATACTCTTTCTTTCCTTACTATTCATCCTACTTCACTCCAGCAATGGGTGATCAGGGTCCCCCTCACCCACCTCTTCTCATCCTTTGCCTGATTTCCTAAGGCCTGTATATATATTTCTATTGTGCAACAGGGCAGGAATTTATATGAAATTATTGGGTTATAAAACAATATTTGAAAAACATTACCCCATGGGTCTCAGTATTTGGGTTTTTACAGTAACTTTTTTTAAATTGAAATTGCATCTGATATTAAGGTGCTGGAGCCCTGCTTAGGAAATGAATCAGCTGGGGGGGTTGTTTTTGGTGATGCTGGGGATTAAACCTAGGGTCTTCTTGTGTTGGTGAGCGAGTCTACCACTGAGCAAGGGCACAGGCCAGGAGTCCACTGCTGCCAGAGGGCCTTTACCTACATTGTCTCACCAAACATTGGATATACATAATATTTCTGGTCTCTAAATACATCTGCCACTATTTTTAAATGGATGTTATAGAAAGTAAAATACAAATTCATGCCACATGTAGTGTTATACACCTTTAATCCCAGCACTCAGGAGGCAGAAGCAGGTGAATCTCTATGAGTTTGAGACCAGCATGGTATACATAGTGAGTTCTAGGACAGCCAAGGCTACATAAAAAGACCTTGTCTTAAAAGCCCCCCAAAACGAAAATAAAAACAAAAAATACAAACCTACTTAAAACTATTGAACTTGTGATAATTTCTTTGTCATATTATATGTTTGTCACAGTGAGTTTTCCCACTAGCAGAAACAAAAAGAGGAATTCAAAGACAGACCCAATAAAGCTGGTCACATCAGCAAGGCATGCTCTTCCTTAGGAAGCCCCCAGGTCTCTGAAGTGACAGAAATAAGCAAGGTATGAGGAGTTGTTTTGGAATCTAGAAAAGAGTCAGCTAGTGTGAAACATGCCCTCACCAGTAGCAACCCTGGCCTAGCCACAAGTACACGGTTCAAAACCAGCGGGGATGGTGGAGCAGCTGGGAGGTGGTCTAGCCAAGCAGCGGCATGGCCCGCATCCCAGCTAGAGACAGGACCAGCAAAGGCTGGCTGTCTCAACAATGGGAGCCCGTGTCTTCTTTCAGCATCTCCAGTCCTCCTCTCACGGATGGCAACAACGATAGGACTATTGTAATTGCAACAAAACTCATGAGGTCCGAGAAGAGACAGGCCTGTTGTTTTTCTTGTGATGAAGAGATTGCTCTGAGGTACATGGTGTGTGTGCATTGTGTATGTTTGTGTGTGCGTGTGTGTGTGTGTGTGTGTGTGTGTGTGTGTGTGTGTGTGTGTGTGTGTGTGTGTCTAGGATAATATGGCACAGAGGGATCTCTGTTTTGGAACATTATATAGAGATAAAGAGGACCTAAGAAAAGACCAGAAACAAAGGCCTTTTCATCCACGTCCGCTCCCTTCCATACGAACACTTGTTTCTCTCCTCTGGCCGGACAGCTGGTTGGATTCTGCGGTCAGCTGATGCTTTCTCTTGTAGTTCGATTAATAAAGTTCCTTTTTCTTGGGCTCCCAGGACCCTTTTCTATTTTCATCAGAAGACAGAGAATTCGTATGGCTTAGAGAGTAGGGTCCAGGCAATATTGTTTAGGATAAACCTTTTTTGTCTGCAAGCAGATTTTTCTTACTAAGCAGAAGGTCAGGCTGGGTTAACAGCTGGGGAAACCAGTGTGCTCGGTTCCTATCAAGACAGTCCCCCCGGCTCCCATTGAAATATGCCTAGACCCTGAAGCCTCTTGAAAGAAATGGCCATCCACTGTGGACCGACCTGCAGCCTCGTTAAGAGCCACATTTTTATGGTTTGTTTTTCTCAATCTTTTCTGCAAGCCCTTGGTATTGATCATGTCATTTCTCTCTACCCTTCTGGGGTTAGAGTTTTCTCTCAGAAAAAAAAAAAAAAATTCAGACCATAAGGGGGCATTTAAACTCACTACTACCTAACCACTCCCAAATACATTGTTTTGAACAGTGTGTGTTTCCAGTGTCCCCATCCTTTGTCCCAATAAGACTCCACAAAAAGATAGACGTCGGTCTTTCAGCCAGCCTCCGGAGATGGCATTCTTGCCGTCTCCAGGCCAGACTGGGCCGGTCCACAGAAGGAAGAGCGTCCCTCTGTGTGGCACTGGGACTGCATTCTGCTGCACTCGGTCCCAATCTTTCTCCTTGCACTCAGACTCTCTGGCTCCCCGGCAGACTCTGTGTTCCCTACCCTGCCCATTCACGACAAGAGCAAACCATCAGGCTGTCCACCTTGTCCTGTCTGGCATTTCTTCAGCTTCCTCAGGGTGTCTGCGGTGCTCAGACTCCCTAGGTTATTGCTTCAGGAGTGTTCTGTTTAATTGTAAGTTTCTATTGTGGACTCTTCCTCCTCCTGCTTGGCTTCCTCCTTCTTAAAAGCAGAGTGGGCAGATACGTAAGAAACCCCTGCAGCTGGGCTTCACCCGGGGTCAGTTCCTGTCCAAGCTGTTTCATTTGCTTTTGGTTGCGTTTCCAGCTTCATGTATTCCTCTTCTCAAACGGTTCAAAACAGGAGAGGAAGGGTGTGAAAAGGAATCTCCTGTCTACATCTGAGAGACAGAGATAGCATCAGCAAGTAGGAAGAATCTTGGGGAACGATGTACAGTTATGATTGTCCTTGGAGCAACCCAGAGTAGTCATCAATGAAAGGAGGAGCCATTCAGACGCAGGCTTTGGCTTATTTGCGCTTTGAGCAGCAAAGACAATGAGGGGCCGGGGCAGACTGGAGAGGGATGTTTCACTCTCCACTTGAATTTGGTTCCATTAGATAGTGAAAAGGGTCCTCAAATTTGGACTTCTGTTGGTTCTGCTGCCTTGAGCCGATCACCTGCTGGGTTTGGGAGTTAATCTCTACAGTTACAGGGAGAGGTTTCTTGCTTTGGAAATCAGTGGTTTTTCTATCTATCTGCGCAACAGATAGGAATACTTTCAAGTCTAGGCCACAGAGACCTAGGTGACTAGGTCAGGAAACATAAACTGTCTGCATAGTGACTGGGCCAGAAGCTGGGGATGATGCCAGGCCACTGGGGACAGTGGCCTGGACTGCTCCTCAGTGACCTTCGCTTGGAGGCCAGGGTGAGGGCAGCCGCCATGTCCCTTCTGTCCTCATTTGCTGAGGGCTTTCCTGCAGCTCGGCTCTGGCTTTCTTGGCAGAGCTGGCCTCACTGCAGACAGAAGGATGGACGTGGGGACGAAGGACAGCCGTGGCTCCGTAAGATCCCCTGACTGACAGCACATCCCTAGGCAGGGAAAAGACCAATCCTGGGAACTGGTGATTTCCTGTTTCGGGGGAGGGGGAGGAAGAGATCCTTCCATCCACACCTGCTTGGCAGAGTTTCATGGCCTGGAGCTGTCCCAAAGGCAGGTCACTGGCCTCTGCCAATAATTATTTGGCAAGGGCTGGGTTTAAACTGATGTGGCATTTTAAGGCATGCTTAACGTAAGGATGACCATTGAAATGTACACTCCTGCTTAACGTTTTGTTTTAGTCAACTGGCTTGTAAGACTAACTTTCATATATAATATGTTTCAGTGTCATATAGAAAATTTACATTCTTAAAAAATATTTTTCAGACTTACTTGTAGGGCTGAACCATGCTTGAAGAGCACTTCAGGTCATGGAGTAGCTTTGAGAACACGACCTGAGGCCATGAACTCCTGAGTTTTGCCTTTAAAGCCATCTTGAAAACAACAATAAACCCTTCCTTTGGCCGCAGTGTCCGCCTCGGTTCTGTCTGCTTCCTCTCATCTCTTCCGGTGCCCATTCCTTCGCTGAGTCCACACGTGCTGTTTTTCTTGCTTAAAAACTCCGCTCTCTGAATCCAGGCTTGCGGTCCGTATCCCTGAACATAAGATCTTGTCCATATTAACTCCCCCTCACCCCTGCCTCCCCCTCTGCTTCCCCTGTCCAGTGGAGGAGGTGCAAGCCAGGGCCTTGTACAGCTAGGCCAGCACTCCACCATTGAGCTATATCCCCAGCTTCCTCGTGATTCTATTTTTATCTTCTTGACACATTTGAAAGTAGGAGAAATTGATCTTTGAAATTCTTTTTTTTTTTTTTTAAGATTTATTTATTTATTATGTGTACAGCATGTATGACTGCAGGCCAGAAGAGGGCACCAGATCTCATTACAGATGGTTGTGAGCCATCATGTGGTTGCTGGGAATTGAACTCAGGATCTCTGGAAGAGCAGTCAGTGCTCTTAACCACTGAGCCATCTCTCCAGTCCCCGATCTTTGAAAGTCTACATACGTTCTTCCCCCTAAGACTTCAGACACCCATGCCTTCTCCTCTCTATCCCTTCCCCCAGCTATAATAGGGTCCATTTCCATAATTTACAGTTTACAGTGTGTAACAATTAGTCGCCCAACTGATCTGTGAGGACCTTTGATTTTTTTTTCAACTCCTTGTGCAGTGGGAGGCTCCCGGTTTAAAATCCTTGGGCATTGTCAGAGGGCAGCGAAAGAAACTTTAGGAACTCTGGGATCCAGTTTCACAGCGATCAGGGAGGCTCTTGTCTATGTAAGTGTGTGTGTGTTGTGTATGTGTGCTCACGTGTGTCAGGGAACGCAGAGAACCTCTGGGAGAATCCCAGAAGCGGGTGATGACTCAGCTTTGCCCAGCCTCGGGCAAGGTGTGAACTCTATTCAGAAAGGAAGTTGGGAGGGAGGCTCTTCCAGCTGGAGCCCAGGCAGCTTCCAGCTCTGGAGCCTCGGCCCTCAGCCCTTCCCTGAACCGCCTCTGTGTGTCTCTGGGTGAGAACAGCAGTCCACACTCACCATCACACCTCCTCCCCCTAGCCTGCCGCCCAACTTTAACAGAACCCCACAGTCTGAACCAAGAGAGGCCAATGGAAGTCTCATGACCGCCAGACTTTTTGTGGGTGTCTAGAGATGTGATTAAAGACAAGGGAGGAGGAAGCTAAAATGTCAAAGGCCTATAAGGAAAGCGAAGGGAGGCAGGACTCAAGTGTGGCAGAGGGGATGAGGATGAAAGTTCTGGATATTGGATAAAAAACCATTAAATTCTAGAAATTCATATAAAAGGCTTTGTCTTTAAAAAACATGAGTGGGACAGAGCAAAGGGAATCTGGTTCCACGTCTAAGTTGCCTCAACCTTTGGGCTGGAAGCCAGCCTGGCATATAACAGCATCCAGGAAAGCTGCCTGTGGGGAGCACACCAAATGAGATGGAATGATGGCCTCCTGGGTAGGTGCATGCACAGCAAGAGGAGGGGGGGCCAGGTACCAGAAATCAGCCCAGTTACAAGGTTCCTGTCATGCTAAGAGGTGCATGCAAACAGAACATTCTTGACCACTTCTGGTCCAGGCCCATCAGTCCCACAGTGAGGCAGTATCCTGACCATGGCTGAGAACCTGCTCACCACAAAATGATGTTGCTATACAAACTACCTTGTATACTTTGCAAGTGTGAAAAATCGTCCCCAAACTGTGGGTGAGGAGTAGTGGCTTAAACGCTTGGCCATGTGCGTGGTTCTGATTGACCAGGACAGGGGCTTGCAGCTGTCTCTGAACTCCCTAAGCTGGAAAAATAATGAATACTTCTTCAAAAAGCATAGGTAGAGAAGGTGTGTGTGTGTGTGTGTGTGTGTGTGTGTGTGTGTGTGTGTGTATGGGTGTGGTGTGTGTGTGTATGTGTGTGTATGGGTGTGGTGTGGTGTGTGTGTGTGTGTGTATGTGTGTGTATGGGTGTGGTGTGGTGTGTGTGCATGTGTGTGTATGGGTGTGGTGTGGTGTGTGTCTGTGTCTGTGGTGTGTCTAATAAATATCAGGGGAGGAAACATACATTCTTAGGAAAAGAAACTTGGAGACTTTCCAGGCACTGACAGAGCAGCAGTGGTCTTTGTCTTTGAATTACTCCGAAGTTCCTCCCCTCCTGCTGCACCTCCCTGAGAAAAACTTTCCACTGGGGTCAGGATGGTTGTGGACTCAGGGTCCAGTGGGTGAGCCAGCTCACAAGCATCGTGCTACAGATAAAAGCCTTGTGAATCAAGGCTAGACTTGGCTACTGGCTAGGCTCTGAGGTTTCTCCAGTGAGAAGGTCCCTGGGCAGAGAAGGAGTGGGAAGGGAGGTAGACTCGGCAGGACTCTGCTGTGAAGACCACCCACACAGCGTCAAGACAGACCTGCAGCCAGGGCAGGGCAAGTGGCTGGACCCCAGAGGGTCCTGGAGTGACAGGAAGGATAATTAACATGAGGGACACAGTGAGGACTTAGAGACACATGAAATAGCAGCAAAGAACCTGCTCATCAGTGCCTGGGTTAGGGGAGCTGTGGCTGAAGGTGGAGAACAGGAGGACAGGGCCTGGCTAAGCCGCTCGGCTGGGGACCTGTGACTGCAGAGCGACCCTGAGCTCTGGAGGACAGGAGACCTGGCTGCTCTCCCTAGTTCCTGCTGTAAATTAACTCGTAAGAACAAGATGGCGTTAGAAGAGTCTAAGGAAAACAAAAGAACAAATTGTGGGTTGAAGGTTCCTTCCAGGAAGGGTGACTGGCGTGCAGAGATGGTCTAGGGGCACAAGTGGAGGTGCTGTGTTAAAGACTCCCAGAAGCCGAGTCAGTGAGTGGAGGACCAGAAGCGGGGTGGGCCTTGACCAGAATCCCTTGTGGCAGAGTCCACCGTGAGAACATTCCGTTGTGCCGAGGGGAAGAGGGCATGAGTCAGCCATAATGTGAGGAAGCCACCGGAAGTGCAAGGAGAGAGAGAGAGAGAGAGAGAGAGAGAGAGAGAGAGAAGTCAAGGACAGGAACTGCACACACAGTTCACCTTACCTCAGCTAGGCACCTCAGCAGCCTGTGGGAGTTTGGCGGGGAGCAACTGCTTGCTCACGCCCTCGCCCTGTGGGGTGCAGAGAGACCAGATGGCTGTCTGGGAAAGATGCTGTCACCAAAGCCACCTCAGACACCTGGGGACATTGACAGCGCTAGAATCTATTGAGGAAGTACCATGCTAATCTGGGAGAGCCAAGTCAGTGGAAACTGCCAGCTCCTAAGGTAATAGCAAGCCTTAGAGTCTTCTGTAAGTTCTCCAGCGTCAACACAGGGTAGGAAGAGTGGAGAAGAGCTGATAACAGACCATGTACCAAGGCTGACTGTGCATCACTCTGAGCGTAGTCCCCAAAGGCTGAACCCAGGAAGTGCAGCAGCAGACGCCAGAGGCTCCATCCATAACATCTTCTGAATTCCCTTTTCTTTGCAAGAATGGCACTCTTTGAAAGGATCGCCCTTTGCAAGAACTCTGAGGTGGGTACCACTTGGATTTGGCACATCTGGACACACCTGGGGCTGCAGGCACAGGTTTATCAAAACCAGGGCCTGAGGACTTCGCTGTGACTGCTTTTGGTCTGACGGGGAAGAACTGGAAGGATCCAGCATGAAGTGCTTGCATGATTTTCTTAGCAGCCTCTCGGTCCAATGAAGGGCTTGGAGGGTAATTACAGAGGGCACTAAAAGGCAAAACCAAAAGGAAATGTGAGCAAGCCTCCTTACCACCTCCTTCTGCAGAAATGGCAGCGTAGAAACCCACACGGGAAAATTAAACTGCCGAGGGATAAAAGACATGTGTCCCTACTTTAAAAAATCAATACACATTTCTTAAAAAGCAGTTTTATGTTTATTAAGACAAACTGAGTAAGAAGTATAGTTTCCAGGTAATCTCCATATCTCCTCCCATAAAATCCCCTTGTTCATTTCTACATTGTCTGCACAAGAGCCAGTATGAGTAGCATCAGTTTTAGGGGGATCTGGCAGTTCCCAGAACCCTTGCCCCTGTGGGCATGGAAGCTTCTAGAAGAGAGCACTGGAGCATTACAAAAAGAAAAAAATGTCGCCGAGACCATGTGATCGCCATCTGGACTTCTTTACTGAGCACAGGCATCAATCACTCAGTAGAATGTCACTGAGACTTCCAAATATCCATTATGACTTTTCAGGAATTAAGAGTCCTGGATCAGCAGAAGAACTGGGGGCAGAGGAGATATGTATGAGTCACATTTTCAGCAGATATGGCCTAGAACAGTGGTTCTCAATCTGTGGGTCATGACCCTTTTGGGGTCAAATGACCCTTCCATGAGGGTTGCATATCAGATATTTGCATTACAATTCATAACAGTAGCAAAATCACATTATGGTTGGGGGTCACCACAACATGAGAAACTGTATTAAAGGGTCGTAGCATTAGGGAGGTTGAGAACCGCTGTGATAGAATGAAGCAGCGTAAGTTCCAGACCCACCCCTGAACTAGTGTGTTATATTGCCTTGACACACCACGATGCAGTTTGTGTGTCTGTGAAGTGGAGAATAGACTCATTCTATTTTCTATAACTGTTGTGGCAATTGCATGAGCTTCAAGCATTAAAATACTTACAATAGATTTGCTGTGCACAGCATTAGTAACTTGTCTAGTAAGGGTGAGGCCTTGGATTCCATATCCACCCCATTTCCCCAAAACGCCTCCAGTGAAGCTTCAGGAAGTACTGGTTGTAGAGGCTGGAGAGATGGCCCAAAATTTTCACTGCTCTTGCAGAGGACTCAGGTTTGATTGCCAGCACCCACATGGCAGCTCACAGCTGACTGTTAACTCTAATTCCAGGTGATTCAATTTCTTCTTCTCTCCTCCTTGGGCTCCTGCATGCATGTGGTACACACAAAGTCATGCAGGCCAACACAAAGCACATAAATAAAGTAAATACACAATTTTTAAAAAAGAAGCAATGAGCCAGGTGGCGGTGGTGGTACACGCCTTTAATCCCAGCCCTCGGGAGGCAGAGCCAGGTGGATCTCTGTGAGTTCAAGGCCCAACCTGGTCTATGGAGCGAGATCCAGGACAGGCACCAAAATTACACAGAGAAACCCTGTCTCGATAAAATAAAGTAAAATAAAGAATTAATGAGCATAACTCATTTGAACTAGATATTTACCCAAGAATAAGAAAGACTTATAAATGATGACTATTGAAATGGAACCCACACACCATAAAATTCACCCTTTGAAGAGTAAAAACAAATGGCTTTTAGTAAATCCACATACCTGTGCAGCCCTCAACACAATTCATTTTCGAACATTTTTACCAACCCTGAAAGAAATCCCCTTTCTATTAGCAGTCCTATCCCAGTGTTCTCCCCTGTGTCCTTGATAACTGCCAATCTAATTTCTGTTGCTATAGAATGGTCTTTTCTAGAAGTTTCTCATAAAATCAAGAGCAGAGTTCCTATAGCTCTTGGTCTTTTGTGTCTGGGTTCTTTCACGTAGAGTGATGTTCATCTGTGTTGGAGCATGTATCAGTATTTGTTTACTTTTATGGTCAGATAATAGTCTACTGTAGACATACCAGATTGCATGCACCCATTCATTAGGAGCTAGACATTTGGGCAGTTTTAGTTTTTGGCTATTCTAATTGATATTGTTATGAGCACAGTGTCTACGTTTTGTGTCATATATGTCTGCCTAAGAGTAGAACTGCTGTGTTATATTTAACCTGTGGAGGAACTGCTAAACAATTTTCTAAGGTGCATGCACTCACCGGGTAGTGGTGATGCACACCTTTAATCCCAGCACTTGGGAGGTAGAGGCAGGCAGATCTCTGAGTTCGAGGGCAGCTTGGTCTATAGAGTGAGTTCCAGGATAGTCAGGGCTACACTGAGGATTCTGGATGCTTTGAGTTTTCATCAGTTTCTTCCTTTGAGACAGAGTCTCTCTTTGTAGCCCTGGCTGTCTGGAACTCACTATGGAGAGGAGGCTTCTATCTAACTCAGAAAGACCCTCTGCCTCTGCCTCCTGAGTGCTCCTGAGTGCGTCTAAAGGCATGCGTCACCACACCCAGTCTTATTTCAGTCTAGCTCCCTTGGCGGGCGTGGACTCTTGTGGTTTTGTTCTCAGATGACTAGTGATGCTGAGCATCTTTCCACGGGCTCAAAGGCACATCTTTGGGAAAATGTTTATTCACGCCACGTGTCTGTTTGTAAACTGACTTGTTTTGTTGTTGCTGAGTTTAAGGAACTTTTCATATAAACTTGAACTCAAAATCCTTCAGACACACCCTCACCAGTGCTGGGATTGCTGGTGTACAACACCACAGCCAACTAATTAACAGGCTTTCCCAATAATCCAGACAAAAGGGGGTGATGGTTTGACCCAGAGTGAAATTAGGGGAGACGCTGAAAACTGGTTACACTATGAGCGGTAGTCAGCAAGATCTGAGGACATATTGAATAAAGAATAAGAAAAAAAAAAGAGTCAAAGACGACTTGCTGGGACTTTTATCTAAGTAAGGAGGGACTTTATCTAAGCAAGGAGGGACTTTATCTAAGCAAGGAGGGACTTTATCTAAGCAAGGAGGGACTTTATCTAAGTAAGGAGGGACTTTCCCGTTCTAGGTTGGAGTAGGTTGAGGTGTCGAGAGAGCAAGTGTTCATTTTGAGGCAAGTTAAGCTGGATGCCCACCAAATCAAGCAGATCATTGAATGTACAAGTCTGGAGACTGAACAAAAAGGCTTGAGAATACTTGGGAAGGTCCAGGAAGATTAAAAACCCCTTTGAATGGTACCCAGTCTGGGCAGTGGCAGCAGCAATGGTACATCCTCTTGGGGAATGGGAAGATGCACCTCCATCTGAGAGTATACATCATAACTCACCTATAGAGAAGCTGCCATCTATTAAACAGACATTCCATCTCTCATGTTGGTTGGCAGTGTCTTCCCTTCAGTCACGTGACTGTCTCTAGCTGGCACCCAGCCCATAACACACTTAAATGCTTCCCTCTTCATCCTCCCCCCACGGCACTCATCCACTACGCCTTCTGCAGTCTTTATTTTGACTGGCTCAAAGGACATCACACCACTGTCTCATTAACCAAAACTAACACTCCCCTGCTTTGGTGCTCACCACGAGGACACAGAGTCTTTTCTCGACGTTGGAGATTTTGCATAGATGTAAAGCCGTCACATGGACCCAATCTATTACAAATAATAACATATGCATGTTGTCTAAATAAGGGCCAAGTTTTGTGCCAAGACAGGTGTTCAGTGAAAACTGTCCCTTTCATTAGCTCAGCTGACAAGCATGTTACACATGTCTTTCCTTAAGTAGACTCTCCAGGAGGGGCAAACCCTCCAAGCCCTCCGCCCCTTACTCTCCTGTTTTCCTGACTTAGATTCTTTCATGGCGAGACTCTTGCCACGGGCTCAGCCTTGGCATAGCTCTGTCCTTTGTCAGCCATGTTTTGTTTCACGCCGTCTTCTTTCCCAGTAATGACTGTCCTGTAAAACGATAACTATTCTGTCTGCCTTCCAAACTGCTAATATTGTTTCTCAAAAACTACCCACATCTTGGCTGCTATGATTCATGTGGAGAGTCCAGCAAGCCTGTTGGCCACCAATAAGAGAATGATTTTATCTATTTTGTTTCTAATTCCCTTTCTGATGTTTACCACCTTTTCAGCCCTCAGAATTGCCAGGGGACACCAAGCTTCGGGTACAGTCCATAAGGATTCCCATGTTACTTGCCCATGATGGAAAGCTTATAGATAATACATTTTCATTGTTATAAAATGTCTATTTTGAAGTCATTCTCCAAATCTCCAAGACTGCAGATCATATCTGTGTTTAACTTTGCATTTTTATATAACTAGAGATTTGCAAAAGTTACAAAGAAATATTCAGGAAGCTTCTGTACCCTTTCCATAACCTTTCTCAATGTTTCCATCTTAAAATTATTATATAGTAACCTTAGAGCTTATTCAGACACTATTTTACTGCACCCCTGGACTTGTATATTTGTGTGTTTGTGTGTATCTGTGTGTGTGTGTGTGTGTGTGTGTGTGTGTGTGTGAGAGAGAGAGAGAGAGAGAGAGAGAGAGAGAGAGAGAGAGAGAGAGAGAGAGATTCTGATGCAAATTTGCCATGCTTGCACCCTTGTGTAACCATGACCATAGTTAAGACACTTTCCGTCACTAAGGCTCATGACTCTTAATAGCAGCATCCATCTTCCTACTCCAAACTCTTGGCAAATCACCAACCTGTTATCAGCCTCACTACTCTGTTCTCAGATCAATTTCAGCACTGTTGTGTAGATATCTCTCTTTTGTGGTACTAAGGATTGCACATGTTTCGTGAGTGTTTAAATAAATTATATCTACAATCTTTTCTTTTTCACTCTGAGAAAAAAGTCTCATAAATTGACCACTCTGGGTTTGAACTTGCTCTGTAGCTCACGCACACCCTTAACCTGTGATCCTCCTGTCTCAGCCTCCCAAGTGGTAACAATTACAGGACCAGACCCAGAAATGCATATCTTTTGAAATTGGCGTGTGTGTGTGTGTGTGTGTGTGTGTGTGTATGTGTGTTTATCTGTGTGTCCCTGCATGTGTGTGTGCATGTGAAGGCCAGAGGTCGACATTGGCTGTCTCCTGAACTGCTCTCCATTTCACATAGTGAGGGAGGCGGGGTCCCTCACTGAACCCGGAGCTCACTGATCCAGGTAGTTAGTTAGTCAGTTAGCTAGTCAGCTTGCTCTGGGACCCTGTCTCTCCCCGCAATCACACAGATGACTAAGCCATCACCCCAGTCTGGGATTGACTTTAATCTAATTTCCTTGAGGTTCATCCAAGTAATTGTGTTTATTAATAGCTCATTCTTTTTATTGCTGAGTGGTATTCCGTGGTGTGGGTGTGACAGTTTTTTTTTTTTTTAATATTTGGTGGTTTTTGTTGTTGTAAGGATTTTTATTGTTGCAGTGTAGAGGCTTGAACTCAGTGGTGCTCTTTTTGTTAGTTTGAAACAGAGTCTCAAGTAGTCCAGACTGGTTTGGAACTAGCTCTATAGATGGAGCTGGCCTCGAACTCCTGATTTTCCTGAGGCCACCCCCTCAATTGTACCATTAAGCCCAGCAAATGCTACATTTTTACCTTTCACACTCATAAGTTCACCCACATAGGAATTCCTAGGTTAAAAAGTTTTCATTTCTCTGAGGGAAAGACCTAAGAGCGAAGCCATTTTGTTTTTAAGTAGAGACCGATCTACTTTTCAAATTCAGCTTTATTTTAGGATTCAATTATTAAAACCTGAGACAGACATTTCACTGTTTACTCTTCCTAATTAGACAGGTGTCTCTCTACAGTTCAGTGAAGTCAGATGAACTTGGATCAGATCCAACTTCCTCACTCATTAGCTGGGTGAGCCTGAATATGAAGTTAGCTGTTTTCCCTTGTATCCCCACGGACAAAATAGAGATAGAAATGATTTAAAGGGGCTACATGTGAAATACGAGTAGCGTCTGGTACCCAGTTGTGACTTAATGCTAGCTCTGTCCCCAGCCTGTGGCAAAACAATTATCAAGCATTATTTCCATCTTTTATGGTATTAGAAGCTGTAACTTTAAATTTTTTGTGGTGTTGGAAATTATAACTGACTTTAAAAATCCAAAGAAATGGGACTGGGGAGAGGACTTTGTCGTTAAGAGCACTGACTGCTCTTGCAGAGGGCCTGGGTACAGTCCCCTGCATCCACATGGTGGCTCCCCACCATCTGTAACTCCCGTTCTAGGGGACCTGACACCCTCTTTTGGGCTCCTCAGGTACGTGGTGTGGTGTGTATATATACATACAGACAAGCACTCATATACTTAAAATAAAAATAAATATTTTGTAATCTAGAGAAACATACTTCTTCCAACTTACATTTTTTAACTAAATGGGTTATCTTTTAAATTTTTAGCTATTTGGGTACACACGTGTGTTGGAGCCAGCACACATGCTACAGTACATGAGGAGGGATCAGGAAATGCTTGCAGGAGCTGGCTCTCTTTTCCCACGTGGGCTCCAGGATCCAACTCCAGTTGTCAGGTGTGGCAGCAGCCACAGTTACCCACGGAGCCATCTTGCTGGTCCTGAGTGGGTTATCTTTATTAGCCTTGTGACAAGGTGTAACGTTGCTTATGAAAGCTAATTTCCCTTTCCTTCTCTCAATGGTATTGTGGAAATGATCTCTGTGACTCTTGGAGGCAGAAATCAACTGGTCTCTCTCCACTGTGCTCTGCTTTCTCCTTCTTCTAGGTCAGTGAACAATTTTCTGATGACCGGGCCAAAGGTAAGGAGAATGTCTTTGATGAACTCAGATGTCATTAGCTTTAACTTGTTGCCTGAAGATAATGCATGGTGATTTCATTATATCTACAGCTTCCATTATGCTGTGGTATATAGCACAGACAGGAACTTTTCCAAAGCCACTCTGCAAATTGTCAGGGCTCAAATGAGCACTTGGCTGTATTGTTACTGAATTTATGGCCGGAATCTCCAGAGCCAGAAAAGTCACCGCTTTGACAGATGCAATCCTGCACCTGTCAGTGTCCCTTTAACGTTGAGGAACTGTACATGGCCTCTACAGGAAAGGAGTTCCCCAAATACCAATCCTTAGCTAGTAGTCGGGTGCAAGACCCGAAATGTCAAGAATTGTGTGATTGGGACTCAGTTTGGAGAGATGGTTTAGCACAGTGAGTCAAGTCTGGTGGGGACCGGGGTTTGGTGGAAACCAAGTTCTCTCCTCCTTGTGCCACCTGCTAACTGTGAGGCTCTGGGCGAAGTTCTTCTCTCTGAGTCTTGGTTTCTTGACCTACACAATGGTCCCTACGCACAGGGATCCTGGCGCTGTTAAACGAGACAGCATGTTTAGACTGCTTCCTCACTCCGTATGTTAGAAAGCCGGGAGAGCAGAGTGCAAGAGAGTTGCTTGGGGCAAATGTCTCCTAAGTTGAGGCTGAATTTTGAGCCCATTTTCCTGTAGGCTTACCTCGTCTACTCCAGCAGTGTGGCAGCTGGCGCCCAGAGTGGTATTGAAGAGTGTAAATACCAGTTTGCTTGGGACCGCTGGAACTGCCCTGAGAGAGCTTTGCAGCTGTCCAGCCATGGTGGACTTCGTAGTGGTAAGGAAAGCCTTGGCCTCTGCTCCAGGAACTGCTGGTCACAGCTTTCCCTCCTCCTCCAGGTCCTTAATTTTCACCCAGTCTCTTTGCTCAGGACGTCTCTCTCTCTCTCTCTCTCTCTCTCTCT